GGGTGGGAACTGGGTGGAGGGGAGCTATGGGGGGAAAAAAGAGGAACAACTGTAATAATCTGAACAATAAAGATTTAATTTAAAAAAAGAATATAGAATATTGTTGAAGAATTGAAAACTATAATGTATGTTAAAGCATTCTGTCAAGTACAGTATGTAAGCAACTAGTTTATGCTATCATGATTATAAATATTATTTTTTAGAAGTGGCAGGAGCACCTGGATCTCATCCCAAATGCACAGGTACATTCATTGTGGCAAATTTTACAAAGAGGAACTTGCCTCTACAAAATAAAATTCATGACAATTATCAGGAAATAAAAGGTAGAGTAGGAAGTAAGAAACTGCTTTTTAACCAGGAGAGAAAGGACAGCAAGACAAATAATAATGTAATGACTTCTTTAGAACTCTGAGTTTAGAACTCTGACGTTCAGCAAAACAGTGTTATAATTGCCTACCAGTCTAATATTCCCCATTCCAAAACAGAAAAACCATAATAATTTTTTTCTTTGATTAAAATAAAGAAAAACATTTAAAAATACTAAACTCACTGTAAAGAGAGAAAAGGAAAAATAAACCATTATTCTTCAATGCAAGACACCCATTGAGAACAGTGTAAATGGAGATGGCAGTTTTGATAATAAAGACTAGAGAGAGAGACCACAGTAAGAACACAGACCTGTGTTTTGCCAAAGGCTACAGCTATTGAGGTTTAAGACTCTAGACTTACTGACCCTGCATCTTTCCAGAAACTTTACCACTCTTGGCTGAACTGTTGAAAACTCACATTCCATTACATCGCTCTGCAGTCCCAGCAGTATTCTAGATTGTAAAAAAACTTGAATAAGTCCCTTTGAGTGATATTTTCTCAGCTTCCAGGGAGTGGGATAAGAATATGGTGGGCTAGGATATCAAAACATAGCTATGGATAAAGAAGCACTGAGCAGAACAGATCCTATACTATAATCTATTGTTATTATTGCCCCAAGCAAATGATTAATTCCACATGCAAGAATTCTTCAAAGGAGTAGAAACATCTAGTCTGGTTATGAAATTTCCAAAAGTTGGCTGATATTTAATTGAAATATAACTACCCTTCACTTTATAGAAAAGATAAATTTCAGAAGAATGATCAAAGTGAATCCTTTTTAAATTGTCAAAATCCTCTTAATAGCCAGGGATTCCTTTCCTAAGGGAAAGTAACTCTTCAACTAAAATAAGATATTGAGCCTGCACCATTATAAATACCCATCAGTCCATGTGTCAAGAGTGCCCACTGTCAATCCACATTGTCAGAAAGTCTCTCCTGCCTAATGACTGCCTAAAACACCCATCTGGTGTTCCTGGAACTTTATTCTTATAGACTGTTTTCTTTCCCCAAAGTTTAGGTTGTCTAATACACCTTAATTACATTGTCAATAGAGTTTTAAACCAAACATGCTATTATTCTAATTTAGACATTCCTTAAATTTAAGCTACAATTTAGTAAGTTTCCATTGTTTACTTTGTCAACTTGGTAAAATGAAACAAGTCATAAGTTTAAATTCCCTGTTTTTCCTTCACTTAGACCTCTAATTAATCTTTCCTATCTGCTTGCAATAACCATTGATGAAAGGCTATCCTGGAACACTTTCAGTATTGGGTCATTGAGTCATACAAGTTTTCACGTTTACTATTACTTTTGGAGGTAGAATCAAACAATGTCACAGAAATTTACAAGGCAAAAATAAATAAATATATGTATAATCTAATAAAAGAGAAACATGGTTATTAACGTATGACCGCTACCCTTCCCATTGGCTAATTATCGAGATATGCAAATTAATCACCAGCCAAGATGGCGGTTAATTTGCATATGTAGGCACAATGCAGGGAGGCGAAAGGGAAAGCACGGAAGAAGCCCCCTGCCACTGACAGTGATCGGAAACCCAGGGGGGAGCTAAGAGCCGGGGGC